CACACACACAGACAACCTCTCGTCAATATGCGTTTTTGCATTGCATAGCTGCAAAAAACGCATAATAAAATGAAGCCAAAAAAGGCGAAGCGGAAGAAGGAACAGGATGCAAAATGTTTGATTTCATCTCGAAATAATGCACATAATGGGTTGCTTATAAACACAGCCTTTGCATCTATTAATAAAACGCTGGTAAAAGCGTAAAGTATACTTTATTGTATTAAGTCCCCGCGAGACGTTTTCGATTTTCCTCATTTCCTTTTGTATTTCATCGAGCTCCGCTTTCATTTCCTGGTGAACTCCGCCAACAGTTGTCTTTAGGCCTGCTAGTACCTGCTGCATTTCCCTGTAATTGAAACATAAACAATTGCTAAAATGCAAACAAATAAACAAACTTCCGCGTAACTATTCAAAGATATTAATGAAAAACACGCTAATCGACAGTCGGGAACAGCCCGTCCAAATCAGTATGGAGATTCATGGCAGCAAATTTGCAGGTACATAGAATGCTTTTAAAGAATTCACAAGGAATATGGTGCGCCAAGTGCCATTGGTCAGATGCTACAAAACGAAAGTTCGAACTCCCGATGTGACAACTGATCCCTCTACGGTTAATTCATTTCGAACTCGTTCCTTAGGAGTTTGTCGATAGCTTTGCTACCACTCTAATTAGTTCCGAGTGCCACCTCTCAGAGAGAGAGAGAGAGAGTGAATTGGTAGAAGATTTTGAATTTGATAAAAATGGAAACCTCCCTATCTAAACTGCTCTTTGTAGAAGATGAGCCATTTTGAAGTAACTACAACAGTAACACTCTGCTTACAACAGTCGCATGACAGCAAGGAAACCGACAGTTTCCTCATCCAAGAGTACACAGAAAGCATGCAGAAAGCGGTTTCGCTCCTTCATATAACAAATCCAGCAGCATTGAAGGAACTGCTAGCTGATATGAAGCAAGCGGAAACGAGAACCTCAACACTTGTGTTTCGCAGTGTGACGTGTGTGTTGTTGCAACTCCACGCATCCTCGCATTTAAATGATGCCGAAACTGGTCCTTCAAATGCTGCTCTTTAGCACCTGAATTCCAGCGCCAGTACTCCAACACATATAAACCACCGTAGAGAGCCGCTCCGGCAGCTATGAAGCGCCAGCCAACAGTCCTTGAAACCTGCAACACTGATGATCAATCCCAGTTTAAGGCTACTGTTCTGTTACAATTAGACATACATGCCAGAACAAAATGCGATACACTGTCCTCTCAATACAATTGGAACTGCCAAAGTTTGTATCTCAGCACTACCTAGTCCAGTGTCATCCTGATGTAACGATGAGGCGCTTTAGTCGGAATCTTGTAGGAGAATGAAATACCAGCTTAATAATGTGTACGACATCCGAAACCAGATTACACTTCAAATACCTTCCAAATTTCACTCGGCAATTGTTCTGGTTTCGTACTTCTTCATCATGGACCAATCTTCCTCTCTCTTAGAAACTCTCTCAAACCCCAAAGATCAACATCCGACTTACTTGTTCTCACAAATTTACACTTTACAATTAATTTTTTTTGTTGTTCTTCTTATAAAGACCAATTTAGATCCCCGATGCACCAGTTACTTTACTTGGCAAAAGAGATGAAGACAGCAAAACATACAATTCCACCAATGACCAAAAGACCAAGTCCACCATTCGCAACATATCCAACCGTAGAAAGCACAAATTGTGCCATTGCTGCACTTTCCTGAGCTTCAAGATTCGCCACTTGTGCATCAGTTGAGCTCCTGCGCTGTAGCAATCCCTCTCCAGCTTCTGCGCCTGTCTGACTGCCGCACACTTTCTAAAATACATTCAAAATATCTGAAATGATCAAAGAACTTTCTCCCTTCAGAATCAGTACTGCTCTCCCTACAACAAAGATTGCCTTTTCTGTGGGACGAAGATGAAGGAAGAAGAAGTCACGTCCCAGAGTAGCCGGTGCGATCGTGCTTTTTGTGCAGTTCTGCCAGTGAGCAATTAATGTTAGGGATATTTACTGTCTAGCAGTTTGGTATCTGCAAAAGTATAACATTTCATGTGCTCATGCATTCACGAGAGCAAGGTCTAAAATTGTGGGTATGCGCATGAACAGAAAATATCATTCAACAATCCCATCTTTCTGTTTTGTCCAACTCCTGAGCTAAAAAATTCCTATGTAAAATTTCACATGTCCGTACCTGAGACAAGCGTATATAGAGGGTGAATTTGAAGTTCTGGGATTCTACATTTAGAGGAAGCATCATACTAAATTATTAGCTTTCTATTTTGCCCAGACCCCAGAAAGAAAATTCTAGCGTCAAACCGTTACATATCCACACATAAAACTTAGGCTCATATGGGAGACGAATTTGAATTTTTGCGATTGCACATGAACTTGAAATATTACCTAAAGATTTCAGCTCCTTAGCTTTGTGGTTCCAGAATTAGTAATTTTGGTGTCGAAGTTTCACATGTCCATGTGTGAGGCCAGAGCGTATGTGTAAATTCATGCAAACGCACGTGACTTACGCGTACGTGAGCGCTGAACATAAATTTGCCGGGGCTGTATATAGGTGACGAAATTCTCATAAAATTTCAGCTTTCCAGCTTCTGTGATCTAGAAGACGGTGGGGACATAATGCATTCGAACCTGCATATATACATTTATATAGATATTCGTAGGAGGACGTGAAAATATGTGTTTTGTGCAACTGTCTCAGCATAAAACGCACAAAAGAGAAACCAGCCGTGGTAAAACGAAGGCAAGAAATGCAATAAAGCTGAAACTTTTGGGTCATGTTGGAACACAGCTACAGGCAAACAACATGCACAGCCAGTACCGAGTTGGACAAGACAGTTTAAATTTTAGATACTTTTAGAACTTTAGGCAAAACGCCACAGCGCAAAAGGTCTAAAACTTCTGTGGGACTTTCTCAAAAAAAAGTACCTCAAAGAAAAACCAGGATCTCACTCAACAACAACATTAAGGAAGCCACAGCAGTAAGCAGGAAAATGCATATAAAAATGTACCAAGAGAGCAAGAATTTAATCCTAAAATAACGAATATGTAAATCCTTCTGAAGAAGTAAACTGGGCTGACCAGCATATCAATGAGGGGTTGACTGGCAACAGCAGTGATTGGTTTTCCCAGGCGATAAGCATTAATACGACGGATGAGAGCTGTGATGCCAAATGAGAAGCGAAACTCCAGATCCTCACGAAAATCATCCATTAATGATGGGCAATTGATGCAAATCGAGAAATTGAATGGAGCTCGATAACGCCACACCTGAAAATGCGAATTTAATGCGCAGCACGTCTGCGTTATCTCATTCAACTAAACTGCCTTTAGAATTAGTATTGGCCCAATAAAACTACACATATCACTGTTTTATGTTGAACGTCAGCAGGCTGCAACATATAATCGGCGACGAGCTGCGGCTACGTCCTGATGTAGAAAGCATGATAAAGGTAATAAATGCCAGGAAAATCTAGGCTAGCCATGTGGCAAAGATACTTCGATCCTGAATTTTCTTGCTGGTTTAGATAAATCTAGTTTTAGGCCAGCACTGCAAACCTTATAAAATGCATCCTACTGTCGCCAAGAAATAATAAAAAAAAAAAAAAAAACCTTACCTGTTCCAAGCTTTTAGAGTACGGTTCAGCAAGTATTTGATTGACATGTTCTGAAATCAGATACATGCATTTCGAACATACAATATTCTGTTACTTCACATCTGACCAGAGAGTCAGCTTGCTTCTGACCAACCCTCGGTAAAGAGATATATGAGAGGTAGACTACTACTGGTAACGCACTACTACTCAAGTTATGTTCAAGTACCTTCACTTGCCTGAATGAAACGTGTCAAAAATTTTTAGCTTCGCAAAAATCGCCAAAAAGAAGACCAACACAGTTGATCCGTCAATTCGGAAAACTCATCTTACCAAAACACAGCTAAACGCCAGATACGTTTATGCCAGGGTCTCTATAAAACAAGAACGCCACCTCCTCAAAAATGAACTCAAATCCATTCCGCATCCGATCTCAGTGAAAGACGGAGCTTTCCAGAGATAATTCTCATCCTTGCCCCCTCTTCCCGCCCCTCCCCCCTCCTCCATCCCTTTCGTCTTCAAACAACAAAGCCGTTGATGGCTCCTAAATCTAAATCAAATGCAAGGCCAGTCAAACTGAAAGAGGACAAACTGAAGAAAAAACTTACGATACATGGCATTTTCGAGATTCCAAATTCGTTGCATAAGACCTCGTGTGCAACGCGCTTCTAAATCTTCCGTTACAACTTTGTCTACAAATTCCGCCAAATTCTGAAACACAGGCCCAATTTCAAGCCCCAACCAGTAAATTTCTTTTTATCCATTCAACTGAACTCCACCACTTGTACAGCGCGACTTCGTAATTCAGAATGTTTTGACAGGTATATAAGTCAATTGAAAATCTCACAAACAGTTAACTGGTAAGAATCCATTTCTTCCTGAATAAGGAATTGCTTAATATAGAGCTGTAGTAATTTTGCAAAGGATATTAGTACCAAGACAACAGTCGATGCTAGTGGTGCCACTGAAAAAAGCCTACATGTTAATCGCAGCTGCTTCGATTCTAAGGTGCACATCCCAGTTAGTACCTAAGGCTCGCTTGTGCTATATGTGTTCCAGCACCTGTCTCGGAGGTGTCAGGCACTGTTGCGTGACGTTTACCAGCTGTCGGCAAGACAAGCAACTCGTTCCACTCACCGAATTTTAAACTCTGTCGCAGTCACAACGAATCTTACACAACACTCCAAACACATCTTTCGCTTCGCTGACAGTTTTGTATTGGTAATTCATTTTTGCCAGCAGAGCGAAATGAAGGGGCTGAGCATAGTTGCACTAATCACCCCACCTTTTTGTACTCTTCGATGAATGCCGGTTCGTCAAGAAACTTGCTGTCGAAGCGATCAATGATTGCTTCAAGTCTTTGAATTTCTTCATAGAAGTCAGCAGAGACTTTCAAATGAACCTGAAAAAATTATTACAAAGTACTCTTAAGTGACACGGCAAAAGGGGAGCCTCTATTAATGGCCTGTTATTACAACGATAGCCAGGCACGCAGCACCACGTAGCATTGCTCCGCTGGAAAAGATCGAAAGTTCGACTACGCCAGTGAGACGAGCAACCCTTCAACAAGCCGTTCACTTGTTTCGATGGTAAACTGATACTGGGCATACCCAGAAGGTGAAGGCGCCAACCGTTTGTTTCTATGCAATTCTTGAAAGAAAAAGCCGTCGACAGCCTTGTGAGTGGCTGGCTATCTCCGAGTACTTTCGCTTTTTTGGGAACTAAATAAGGCAAAAATTCTGATTTCTACCTTTAGCTCTATAACAGAAAAAAAGTCTACCTCATTTCTCAATCGTTGCAATTCAACAATCGCAGATTTTTCAAAATTTTTCCAATTTCCCAAACAGTTTCTGAATGTCGTTTCTTTTACTGCATAATCTGTTGCCAGTTTATCCCTGAACAAAGGCAAATGCATTAATGTGTGGGGGATAAACCTTCGTAAATTGCTATCTGCTGCTTCCCTGAGAAGAGCCATCAGATGGATAAAGTAGATTATCGACTACTGTTCACGTAGTCTAAACGAATACAGAGAACACTGCCAGTTCTGAAAGAAAGCTATCGAAACGCCTCTACAAAGTTATCTAGAAACGTCAGACGACAAACGAAAGAAAATGAGAAGTCACCTGCGTTTTACTGCATTGCTGTGCACAACATCAAGATTGGTTCTCATTGCCGCAACTATTTCTCGCGCACGTCGCTGATGAGCCTCGAATTTTGTGCTTATTGCTGATTTTGAAATAAGCTGCTGAAAATTCGGAATTCTGTAACAAGCGAAGCCACGAACGTCATAAAAATAACTTATCAAAAAAGGAATGAAGCAAGCAGTGATGGCATGAAGCAATAATTTCATTATTTTACACATACCTCAAACTGTGATTCAAAATTTGTGAATTCCATTGCCCGGTACTGATATCCTTCTACCTGATAGGCTAAAATAGATTAGCTTAGGAAGTATAAATGGAGAAATTTGTGGTGCCCACCAGCAAGATATGCTGGTGAATAAATTTGTAGCATCATACTAAGCAGTAAACGCCACTACGTCAGGTCTAAAATCCCACAAAATCGTATATTTTGATTTCATTTACGTAGCTTTCAGATGTGGCAGTTTCTTCAGGACTACTCAAATAATCGTTATCTTCCTCTTGAGAACCGTTCGCAGGAAACTGTTCCAGTACAGCTTACAACAAATCGCTTCAGCTGTCACAGTAAAAAAACAAGCAAAACGTCATGCCCATTCATGAATACTTCCCATAATCACGACAGTCTCTGACCCCGCGAAACGTCTGTCCATACCACGAAGAAATAGTACGAAAAATCTTGCTGCTTTGCTCCCCCAAAATAGCTGTAATAAAAGAGGTAGGCACAACTCTTCCGGTTCAACACTTCGAGGACGTTAACAATGATGTAAAATTACGATATATACAAAAAACAGAAAATAACGAAGAATTCAACCTTGCTTGATAATTCCCTTCTCTTTCAAACGTAAATCCAACATTTCACGTGCTGAAATGAAAAATATACGATTTGCTGCTTCTGCCTCGCTGCAGACTTTAAGTTCGTTAACAAGAAACTGCCGAAAGCGAGTGATATGTTGGTCGCGGATCTGAAATAAAAAATTTTCAGTCAAAATTACGGATCATTTCTAGCAACTTTCAAAAGAACAGTTAACAGCGTACGAAATCAACGGAAGCCTTAACAGCAAAAAATAATTCAACGGCGATAACAATGATAAGAGAAGATTGCTTGAGCTTCCGGAATTAGCCGCATGTGCCAGCGCATGGAAACCCTAGTAACTGTTCTCTGATTAACTCCCACTGCGAATTTACTATTGACAACAGTTGTGGAGAATGCTGAAACTAATAGATAAGCTAGTGAGCATCATCTAGCATTCTTTCTCCCAAAAAAAGCAAGGAAAAAATGTCATACTCTTCAGCAGGTTGATCAGGAGATCTAGGAAGCTTAACGGCAGCTGCAAAAAGGCTGACCCTAGAAGCTAAGACGGCGCAAAAATTGCTACAGCGAAACTGCATTTGTTCACAGGCCTGAATGACTTCTGTGATAAGCTGGCCATCTTTCTCGTCAGCCGGCAAAATTTTGGAAAACCTTTTTTTTGGAAAAAGCAAACTGAAGCATTCTTGACACTATCTCTTCTTTTCCCCCACATCTGTCTCAGTATTTCATTGCGTTTCAATAAGACTATCACCATCCTAAAATGAATGGCGAAGCGATAATCATAATGCTAATAGCAAAGGCAAAACTCTGAAGCAGCCCGAAATACAGTACAGCAACAGCAGCAACCAAGCCTAAAGCAGCCGATATCTTCTTTGAGGACTGGTTAGAAGCAATCTGCCAGAAGAGGTTTTAAGCCCGTGACATGCAGTGGCAGTAATTTAGCACTGAAATCAACGACACAGAATGGTTTTTTATTGGCTAATTTGAAGAAAACAGAAAAATATTATGCTGTGAAGAAGCAGAAGAAAAAAAGATGAAAGTGGCCACAGCAAGCAGCACAACATCAACTCAACTTTTCCACCTGCTGCATGTTTTCCACTTCAGCAGCGCTTGCATCCCAGCGATTGTTCAGAATGAAGATGTTCGGCTTGCTCAGCTTCATGCTGACACGATGGAAGAAGCTCTTCTCGGCCTGTGTCAGAGTCGATTCCGCATTACAGACCAACACGAACACATCTGCGTCCATGCAATGCTTATCGATCCAACTGTCAAACTCAGGCGACAGATCCACGCCAGGGCTGAAGAAAAAGCACTGCTGAATTACTTTTAATTAACTAAGATGTTGGAAGTAGCAAATAAAGCAGCTGAAATGGACGGCACTGTCAGTAGCAGTAGTTGGAGTAATAAAAACAATCTCTTGCACGTGCTGCTAACAGTCTCAAGTAACCAAACGATGCCGCCACGAAAGAGCCTAACTTCTCGACGTAGCCAGCTATTAAAGCATGAACTTATGGGCCACCATACATTATCACGTAAAGCTCTCGTTGATTATGCGTGGGCTATGGCGGAGGATTGAACGCTACAAGGATGGAAAAGCAACTCTGCTGGAAGTGGGAAAAAGACAAAAGTGCCGACGGAATTGGATTTATTGTCAACAGAAAGCGCTTATCACATCTGCTGTCAATTTCCTACTCATCGTAAATCGGTGTATTTGAAGGTAAGGTAGAAAATCAGGAGAAGGAAAAAGAAGAGAAGGAGAACGAAGCGAAAAGGAAAGGGGAGTATTAAAATGTCTGTAATTGGTAAGAAATGCTTCGGCCCATTAATTCGTATACATTTCTTACTGCTACCACGATTAGACCTACTGCTAGGCTGCATTCCAATTAGCCCCTGAAAATCATTAGCAGCGACAATGTTGAGACTGAAGAGTTCATCGCTTAGCTCGAATTTACTCTAATCGTCAGGTCTAAATGCATGCCTTTACGGAAAATTTTGACGCAAAACCTGAACGAGGAGCGAGAAATGGGAGGAAGTTGGCAAGTGCGACAATGGCAAGAAGAAGACGGAACTGAAAATTACGACGGGGGTGTGAACAAATATTTATTTGTTATACCTGGTGAAAACGACTACATCTTCGTTGTGGCTTGACGTATTCCCAGAAATGTTACTATAGCGCCCTTCGGGACAAGAATTGACCACCGAGTGTTGCAGAGGAAAATGCTACAGCAACTTTTACTGTACCAGTAAGTCAGTGTGGCTGACTTCGAGAAACTGATGCTTATGAGATGAAGTGGTGGCAGGTCGAGAAAGTCGACTGGAGTACAACGCATGATATCAGAAGGCTAAAAATGCTCCTCCGAAAAGTTTCACTGCGTAAAATAAGATAAATGCGCTCGGTTCAAGGGAGCGAATTCAAAGGCATTTACATTTTCGGAAATGCTAGAGTGGTAAATTCAAAAGCAAAGGGTGCAGAAGCCGACAGCGCAGCACCATCGGCAACGAAGCAATCAAATAATGTATCAAAGTACGTTGAGATTCTGGAAAAGTTCCAACCTGTCCACGATGACAACATCGTTCTGCAGCAATTTGGATGCCGACTTAGGATAATAAACACGCAGCAACGAGTCCTGTCCCATTGCAGAGAGGGACAGATTTGTATCACTCATTGCATGACCCAATTTTTGTAAATTCTCAATATCTATTCGTTCTGATGAATCTTCGCGCAATACAAATTTCTCGTCGTCCGGACTTCCTTCCACCTGAAATACCACTGTTATATTTGTTCATCAAACGTGTACATGTGGTGCAATTGGTTGAGAAAAACAGAGAAAAACAAAAAAAAAAAAAAAAAAAAAGAAAAATGCGCTAATTTATAATGTTTCTGAAAGAAATGCCAGAGCACAAGAGTATGAAAAATATCGAAGAAGTTCATCCCAAAATGAGTAAAAACAACGTCTGCAGGCAAATCACAACATATTTTTACAAACTGCACACTGAAAAAACCTCGAGCAATGTTCCTTTGTTGAAGGAAAATTTGTGACGTATCAAGTAAACGGGCAGAAAGTTCTGCCACATTCTTCCTTACCCCACGAAGAAAATTTTAACAACTATAATTAGATTTTCTCCCACGCTTTTGGATGATTGGGCATTTTTACTATACGAAAAGCATGTGTTAACAACAAATACACTCGAGCTGTGGCCTCTTCTTCAAAAGCACCGTAAATTAGTGCATTAATCCTGTGCTCTTTTTTAGATCAAATCCGCAACACTAATACATTTCTGTTTGAAAAATAAATGCATCGTTTCGTACATCCACTTACGTCTGTGAATTTTCTTCTGCTCTAAAATTGATAAGAATGAGAAGTGGCGAGTTCACCTGCAAAAAGCAACAGGTAGTATGTCCCATTCCTTGCGGCAATACTTTCGAATGCAGCATTGCATTAATAACTGAGCTTTTTCCGTTACTTGTCCTGCAAAAGTGAAAGTCATTGTTTCTCCCTAAATCTCAGTATAATGGAAGTATGAGTTATACATGAAGCATCATGAAATTTACCGCTCAAAGTGGATCATTTTAATTATAATGCACGCAAACATCGCCAAGCTCAAGCATCACAAAAATATCGTATAAACTATTTGAACAAATGATACGAAGACCACTTACCGCCCAAAAAAGACAACTTTCATCGTATCGCGCATAAACATATCACGAATGGTCTTGATGCTCTCTTTGAAGCGCTCCACTTCCCTCATCTGCTCATCCGGTACACTTCCATTCTCATTTATAATTTCTAAAAAAAACTCTTACATTATGACCGTCATGCCACGCTACTTATCACATTTAATGGGCAAAGTTCATGCGACACAATCTCCCATTAAAAAAATACCAGATGCTCGTGCGTGTTTATTTGTTGCAGCAGCGAAAACATCCACTAAAGACTGCCTAATAATGAACGGTTTCTGCCACGACCACTCGGACGAAACAGAAGTGGTGGCACAGTAACACACAACAGACGGAAGGTACTAACCAGAGGTATGCAGTTCAGGATCGAAAGGCCTGGCATATCTGCGCATGGCGTATTTCTTAGTAACATTACCTACATGGCGGATCCTCACAACGACCGTCCGGATGATTGGTAGCTATTTTAACTTATCCCTTAGGGGCACAGGATTAAGGGCAAGCTACTTCACATGATGTCCTAAGACATTAGACAATATCTTTTCGCCACTTCTTTACACCTGACAAGATTCAAATGAGCCAGCTGCTTAAGCTGTGGTACTGAGCAAAACAAATCCTTCTCCCAAGTCCGCTCTCCGCCGGGAAAAAGCTGCTACTGCGGATTTTCTACTAAGTTAAATTAAAAAATTACCATTGTAAAATAGTGAGAGGTCCGTGATGTAGCTCTCAAGCTGATTGTATACGTTGCCAATGCTAATTTTCGCTTCCGTGAATCGTTTGAGTGGCTCGCCATTGCTTCGTCCACGGCTCAAGCCTATAAAATCAGAGAGATGGTGATGAACAACTGGGCTGCCATAGCTGCTTGACGGAACAAAAGGGGTGTGAAATTTCACAAAGCAAAATTGGATTTTAGTAGCGGGAGCATGATTCGATAGTAATCTGATGCCAAAAAATTTTACGCAGCCGGGGAAAAAAGAGCTCACATAGATGCGCCCACCCAAGGGTGGCCGAGGCGAAACAAGTGCTGCGGTCATCAGAATCAGCGCTGTTCAAAGCGGAACTGGAAGTTGGAGAACAGCTGCATTTATGAATTACACTTGCTCCAATCAATTCAAGCATCTCTTTGGAATTCCCTCCTTCGCACGGCCTCCTTCCAGTTCATTTACTTCACTACTTCTATCTTATTAACATTATTTCCTGCTTGTATAAAATGTGATATTGACCCCCCTCCTCCCCCCGCAGTAATATAGTACGTGTAATATTTCAATCACATCTTTTGCGCTATCAATTTGCTTTTGAGCAATTCCCGGAAGAGGAATTCACCGAGAGTCTTTGCCAGGCAATTGCAACTCGCTTCTCACAACCACTGAATATGATGGGGGTTGTGACTTCATTTTCGTTCCCTTCTCCGCCGAACTATGCATTTTGGATCCGTCTGCACACATGCCTGGTCCCGAGCATGTCTTTCTTCTGCTAAGGTTTTTTTTTTTTTTGCACCACAAGCAATTCTTTGTTTTTAGTAAATGTAGGCAAGTCAGCGCTCGTGCCAAAACCCGCTTCACCTTTCTTCACCACTGTGTTTCTCCAGGAAACAACAAATGCACCTACTTGCTTTAGCATCGCTCGCAGCAGCCGCTGCTTGATGATATGTCGAAAGAGAAGCCGACATAACGGCACTGTGAGATGAACGAACGCAGCCTGAAACTATTCCGCCAGCTTTACCTCCTCCGAGTTACCAAAAGAACTATTACGTCAAAAACGAACGAATGGGTTCTTCATCTTCAACAACAGCCCACTATCCATCCATGTAACTCAGAGTTCCGTCTCGCCGCTCACAGCTTTGCTCTCCCGGCAAAGCTTCATCGATCGGTGGTCAGCCTGCTGGCGATTATTTCGTCTTCTGAGACGGATTCTCTGCCCATCTATTTTCTCAAAAAAAGCACTTGGCAAGGATCTAACAGTCTGGAGATGTTCCTTTTCTATACATTTCGAACATCACCACCTTGTCTATTAGCAGACCACCACGAGGTGCCCCAAGCGACCAGAAACAGGGAATGTTTATAGATTGCGAGATCGTGACACACAATCAGCCTTATCCCCGCACGCATCTCCCTAGGACCACGCGCGAAAGTAAAATCTGACGGGCAGGGCATGCTGTTCACCTTGCCGACAATATCGATGAGGTGCACTCACATGAAAGTAAGCAACCCTCGGCACACATCCACAGTGATGAGTACTAACTGGAGGTATGCAGCCCGGGATCGAAGCGAAGCGCCCTGGCATAGCCGTGGCAACATCTCTCGCAACTTCTCTGAGAGGGTATCCCCATGCACATCGACCGGCATTCCGGTGCTTCCCACTTCCAGTTCCGAAGATCTTGTCAACGAGTATAAAAACAACCACCAAGTGGTGCGTGCCTCGGTACACTTTCATGAGCCATGTGACAGACAAAATTAATGGATGCCATTCCGAGTATGGGAGAGTTCGGAACACCTGCAGGCACTGTTCCACAACAGCTATTCAAGGCAAATGTCGCTTGCAAGCCGAGGCATGTTGAAATGCTTTCGCGAAAAGGAGCAATTCTGATAAGTGGCCCCAATCAGCAAATTCCGTTTGGCTGTGAGGGGGCTTGCTGAGCGAAAAGGCTTGCCAGCGAAGCGAACAGTATTTAGCAGAGGGCGCAAAAGTTCCCCTTCAGCGCGAACCGCCACAGAACGACGAGGCCTGAAAAAGAAGATACCGCGGCAGCGCAGCTGCCTCACACTGTTACTCGGAGAGCCGCCATACGCTCATTGCCCCCACTCCCCAGTGGTCCAAAAATCGACGAAGAGCGCCCCCTCCCAAGCCACGCTAGCTTCGAAAACAACAGCACTTTGAGGCTTTGTCTGAAAACTTGGCCCAGCTCTGCTCGGCCGGCGTCATACACGATATGCAAAAAATTTTCCCCGCCCACGACTGGTAGAGCTATCCCACGGTGGATGGCGAGAGTTTGAATGTGCCAGGTGGGAGTGGAAGTCGTATGCCTGAAAAATGTGCTCATACACTGCCAAATTTCCTACCCCGCCTTCTGCGCCCTTAGCAGTTCTCCGTCCCCTCGCCCTCTTCC